AGTTCTGGTTTAGCCCAAACCAGGACAAATGCTCAGACTGATATGTGAAAACCTGTTATCTCCAGTTTACTGCAATTTCACATTTAGTTTTAATATGAAAGTTTACTTACTGATGCTGTTGCAAGTTGTTATAATCCATGTAATGCATTTTCTAGGAAATCAAGTTATTTTTCATCTTTATCACTTTTGCTTGAAAATACTAGCTATAAGAGCTTTAAAACTGTTCCCTTACTTGAAGTTTAAGTTGATTTAAAATCAGTACTAAAAACATGCTTTGGTTATATGTTCTCAAAACAAGTGTTTACTTCAGAGTTGTGATTCAGCTGAGAAGTCCTTCATTTAACAGTTTGGGCTATTGGGCCTATGTTAATGAAACTTTCCGCTTTTGTTTTTTGTGAAAACATTGTAGAAGGGCATTTTGTAATAGAAGGTAGCTTCAGTCTTGAATACAGTGATATTAACAAGCGCAATTAGAGTCTTTTGACTTAAACTGCTGTCGAAATGCACTTCCTGTATTGGTGCTTAGAAATTAGAGTACGTTCAAGGTTCCTTCTGCTTAATGTCTGACACTCCCCACCCCAAAAAAAAAGCAGCAGCACGAAAACATCTTTTATATGACCCTCAGGGTGTCTGACGTTCAAAGATACGAAAAATCTGCATTCTTTGCCTCGTTGCTTGAGATGGATGTTTGGAGGTATGTACTAATGTAACTGGAACACCAGTGTCCTGCTTGTTTCGTGCTGGGGACTGGTTGGTAATTAATTGTCTGATGTTAGGTAATGTGTGCAAATGTTCTCTTAAACACTCTGTGAGATGAGTACAAGAGATGTGGACAGACATGTGTCTAGGGGAAAGGGGAATGTGTACAAAAGTTCTCTTTGGGAATGGTTTTGGAGGTGCATTATGTCTTTGCTAGTCCTTAAGGTCCCCAGGATGGTCCACAGTGAAGAAGTTGCTGAGGATTGTCATGAGCTACTGTACTAAGAACCTGCATAGGTGGGCTTCTGTGCAGAGTAGAAAGCAGTGCAGCCCTCCTCTGTTCTCTAGGTACAGCCAGCATAGATGCTTTACTCTGCATGCCAGTCTCCAGCATAGCCGCTGCAGATGTATACTCAGCGTAGATCGTGATGGTTTATTCCAGGTGCTTTAGTGGTTTATTTGCTTTTAGTTATATTCTGAGGTAATGAGCAGGAGCTCTGTTAGTGATGCTAATAAATGGTCTTGATGGTTTTTGATATTTGTTTTCCCTCTGTTTAGGGAGTGACAATTCCCAGTCAGAGACGCTATGTGTACTACTATAGCTACCTGTTAAAGAATCACCTGGATTACAGACCAGTGGCACTGCTGTTTCACAAGATGATGTTTGAAACAATTCCCATGTTCAGCAGCGGAACTTGCAGTAAGTACCCAGCACCCTGTTAACCTCCGTTAGCTCTCATAAGGAAATGCACCGGCCTTTGGATTTGGTTTGGTTATGTGACGGTTACCGTCCTGTTCCGTGACATGAAGAGCTGCACATCTTGATGGAGAAGATCATATTTAAACACTTCACATTCCAAAATCTGCTGGGTTAGTGTGGTCTATCTGCTAGCATCCTCCCAGGTGTAGTAGGTTGAAGTCTGTGAAGGACTTGTGTGGTTGTCTTACTACAGTTTTAAATTGGGAAATATTTAATGGTTTGAAGATAAGTGATGCCATATAAATATATATATCAATATTTGCTCCTTGCGTTTTTTATAAAAAGCCCTTTTTTTAATATAGCAACTCTTGGGAGACATGAATTGCTGAAAAACATTTGCTTAATGGCGTGTTGGCTTCAGATGCAGCGGTGTCATTCTTCCTGTGATGTTTTAAAAAAAAAATTGGTTCAACTGGGTAAATATCTAATTAACTCAGGAATAAACTTTTCTTTATATGGAGGCTTATAAAGTATTAATACACCTGTAAACAATTATTCTGGTTTGCTGATACACAGCATGTTAGTAAAGAACAGCAGATTCCTTGAAGCTTTGAAGTACAACTACAAATTCACTTCTGTCCTTCTGTGGGCCGTATTACAGGGCAGTAGCTGCCTAGTGTTGCATGTTCATTTTTTGTTAGTGGAAAGTCTTTCTAATGGTTTTGCTATGGGGATTACTGCAATGTGTAATTAATTCCAGTGCCTCCTGTGGCTTTGATTAAAATTGCACTATTAATGCTGTTGTAAGACAGTACCTGAACGTGTAATGCACATAAGGAACAATGAAGCAACTTGTCAGGCTAGCTGTATTTACAGGACGAGGAGGAGGAAAGGGAGGAGTGTCTGCCGAAAAACCTCTGCCTCTAGGGTAGAGGTGTGGAGGTTACAGATTTCTGCAATTACCACTTATTTAATGTTTTGGATAAACTGTGCTATACTTGTGAAATCAAGCTACAAGTATGAATTGCTCCTGTGAGCATAAACTTGTTTGTCTGTACCAGGCTGTTAGCACGCTATTTTCACAGTAGGATGTTGGGATAAACAGAAGATTTGCTAAGCACCTGAGAAGACAGAGTAACAGTCAACTTCAGCATCTTTGTGTACTGCAATATTTTATTACGGTTTCTGTGGAGTTTTCAGAATGTGAAATCAATGGTCTGTGTTACTTCTTTAATCATGTTATCTACTGTAATGGTAGTAATTTAACCAACGCATGATAACTTCCTTGTTATTTTCCTTCTGGTTTAAAGTCTTGACTGAGCAGAGTGGGCAAAACAAAGGGATGACAAGATTTCATGGCTCTGAGGATTTGAGGGAGATAAGTAGCAGTTTTATGGCTAGGCCATTCAAATCATGGGCATGCTCGGTAGGGACTTCCACAGCTCTGCAGGGGTGATTTCAGGGTGGCTACGCACTTTATGGCAGGGTATGGTTCAGTGTGCATTGTCTAGAGAGCAGTCTGCGTCTGATACTTACAGAGGAGTCGGGAGCAAAAGCAGAAAGACTTCTTTGAATAAATTGCATTTAAAATTTCTGCCTTTCATGCTGGTGTCTGGCAATTTCTGATGAAAATCTGCTTTGGCTGCACCTAAAAAACATCATAATTTCAGCTGTTACCCCTGCAGATTTAATTTGGAAAGTTACACTGTGGCTGGCACTTTTTTTGGTCATGGTGATGTCCAGGACAGACTTACAGTCTGTGTCTGTATAGTCTGTCGGTGCTGGTTGGTTTATGTATTAATGTTAAATTTTGTCCTTGATTTTGTTGGTATAATAGTTTTGTTTGTGTAAGAGTAGAAATCAGTTTGTGCTGACATCACTGCCCACTCTGCAACTCAAAAGAGAGAGAGATAATAAAACCCCTCAGTTGTGTCCATATAATAGACACGAGAGGCAATATGCAAGGAAAAGTCAAGAAGCTGTCACTTCATTTAGTCATTTCTTATTGAAAAGAAACAGCAATTTTCTAGGAACCCTATGGCTGCCTATGAGTATTGCTACAAAGGACAGAAATCTGTTAGGTTGTTTCCAGTAATGTCTAATGAAGTTTGCTCTGTGGTCCTTAACTCTTAATGTTTATTTAACTTTCAAAGTATCTTAGCTCATGATTGTGATTCTGATACTAATGTTGTGTTTGTTGACACTTTAAGGCATTTCTTACGAAGTAACACTTTATTTTGCCATGCAGATCCTCAGTTCGTGGTGTACCAGCTAAAGGTAAAGATATTCACCTCCCCTTCAGGACCCTCAAGACGTGAAGACAAGTATATGTACTTTGAATTCCCTCAGCCTTTGCCAGTATGCGGTGATATCAAAGTGGAATTTTTCCACAAACAGAACAAGATGTTGAAAAAGGTTGGTTTTCTCACTTTTGTGGAGAATGTTGTCAAGCCAGTCCTGATGCAGGCTGGGATGTTGGTTATTCTTCAGTGATGGATGATCACGGTATTTAATTCTTTGATGTCTAGTTTTCCCAAGGAGAGTGTCTACCACAAAATGAAAGCTGGGTATTTTGAGAGTTGGTGAGATTAAGTACAAAGGTTGGGTAAATATTATACTGGATATGTATTGCAGTTGTTTCGGTAGTAGTGAGTAATCTAATTGAGGAAGAAACATTCTCATTCTAAAAATAGACTTGCATACTGAGCAAGTTAACTCCAGCTGTTTTCTTCACTAAATTTTCCTAAGGTTTGAGCAGGCACAGAATATCCTGTCTGTGTGTTGTTGGTTGATTTCTACCCATCTGTCAAATTTGGTTGGATTTCCGAGATAACTGAGTTCCTACGCACCTTGTAAAAGTATCTCTGCAATCTCTTCAGATGTCTCTTGGTTTCCAGCTGCAATGCCTTGACATTAGATGTTTAGAGAATTTACTCAGAACTGAGAATTTTATCAGTGTCTCAATTGTGGAAAAAAATAATCTAAAACTTACTTAGACACCGAAGTCAGCGGGTTCTTAAAGATGAATGCCTCATCGCTGAGTTGCGTTAATTCTGGTGCTTATGCAGCTAGTTTTCATCTACCAAAGAGTGATAACACAGTCTGTTATAGCTGTGCACACAGGTTGTGCCTACTAAATGTGTGTGTAAATACATGTGCACAATATTTTGTGGGCTTGTTCAGTTATAAGGTATTGTTAACTAGTTTAATGGTGTAATTTCACTAGCTGGAAATGTATTCTGTTGTTTGCTATGTGCTGATGTCTGCAAAAGTTTTTAAACAGTTTCTTAATGGGAATACTTTCTTCTGCCTGTTTAATGAGATGTTTTAGTTGGTCAGTGTGGCTATATGCAATAGAGAACTGTAAAACAAAGCATTTTATAAATAGAAATTCTACTTTAAGCAACGTTAAAAATGTTGACATTTAAAACTGCAGTGCACAGGAGCCAGTTTTGAGAACAGACTTTTAAAGGAGCACCCAGATAAGTACTGTGGGTTAGACATGAGGGATGCAGGGAGGAGATGAAACAAACCCCAAACATCTGAGACAAGGCCCTGTTTTGTGCAGGCTCTGTCCTATCTTAACTGTGAATTTGCCATTTCTTTACCATCTTCAGTAACATGTGGATTGCAAACAGACTTTGTAGGAAGCATTGTGGTGCACTGCCCCTCCCTGAGTAAGCCCCCAAAATATCTGTGCGCAGCTCAGGTGCTGGATCTTAGCCCTGTAGCACCAGAAATCAACTCTTGTATTTGTTTTACTTGTAGAGAGTGCACTGAGATCCAGTGACGGCGTAAACTAGAGCTCCTTGTTACCACGTACAGTTTCTGTAGTATAAATTCTGTTTTCAGGAGTGTGTAAAATTGTCTGCAGAAACGCAGCAGGCGTGTTACTATGCTGTAGTTTCATTTCAGAGTGTCATATCAGCCATGGTTTCATTTCTTAAGAATCTCTTTGTAGTTTCTGAGCAGCTGGTTGATTTTTTTTTTTTCTTTTTGTCCGTTCTTACCAAGTACCCTAACTATTCCGGTTCTGTGGATTACAGGTAGTGCAGAGATGCTCCTTTTGTCAGCGTTTTTGGACTGCTAGGGCCACAAAATGCTGAGATGGTGAAAGCCCTTCTTTCCACATCTGCAAGCTTTTCTGAGAGTTAGAAACTGTCCCTTCACCAGACAGAAGTCTTTTGTAAAGAAACCGCCTTGATAATCTGCCTCAAAAATCTGTTGAATCTAGTGGCTGATTGCCTTCAACCTTGTGCCAAGAGTGGAGGCCAAAAGAAAGCAGGTATATGGTGTTACGCAGTTTTGGTAGGACCACATGTGTTGGCTCTACTGTAAATGCAGACACAAATTGAGGGCATCTGAGACTGGATCCGTGGATCCTCTTGGCTGTAAGCATGTTAGTCTGTTTTACGAAACTGCTGCTGAGATCTTCGTATTGAGAATTAGTGAAATATTCCATTTCTGACGTGCTTTGGCACTAGAGGACATCTTTCCACATGATCCTTTTGACAACTTGTTATATAAAGTGACTTAAGAGGGGAATAGGGCAAAGGTGAATATTTGTGGCAGAAAACTTACCTTGGCATGAAGCTGAACACATTTCTTTGAACAAGTGTCCCACAACTGTGCCTGTTCCTTTTCTAGATAAACTGATCCTGTGCAGTTTTTACTGAAAACCCCAAAAGAGGGCCTTCCACTGTGGAGACGTGTCGCATTTTGGAGAAAAATCAGCTCTGTGCAGTGGTCACCTAATTAATGAGGAACTGTATAATTAGGAGTAGCAGGATCTTATCTTTCAGAGATTCTGGTTTATTCAGGCATGTTTATGAAAGCTGGAATTACAGGTCTGTTTCCTGTCACTGGTTCTTGCTCTTCCAAGGTTTTCTGTTAGGAGATTTACAGGTAGCTGGTAAACAAGTTTTCTTGCAGACACTTAAAGGCATCACATATCTACCAATCTGCACTTTAAATTTCTTTAAGAAACTGAATTGGAAAACCCAAGCAAGTGTAATTCTTGATCCGTTGTGGGCCTCAGGATGGAGAAAGGCTATGTCTTGTCTCTGGAGATAAAGGAAACTTCTGTGTTCTGCTGAATCTAGTTTGGTGTTTGATACAACTGATCTCAGATGAAGTGCTCCACATTCACTCACATGTAAATTTGCTTCAAATTTCTTAATCCTCTGAAGAACAGTAGCGTTATCTGCAGAACTTTCTAGTATGAAGGGTCCTTCTCAACTTTGAAGCTGCTCTTGGATAAAATTACTGTACATGAAACAAACTGGAATGACCAAGTGACCTTAAGCACCTAGCGTTGCACTGTCAATTTGAAATTTAAAGTAGTCGAGTGTCCTGGTGTTTTTTTTAGTGGCAAAACTTAATTTGACCAGATTCAATGGCTAGCAAGAGCTGACCTCAGCCAAAGGATTATTGATGCTGGTGAGAAGATGTAGGTAAGAGGGTGACTGCTTTGAAGAAGTTACCCTGTTTCGTCTCTTCCATAATCTGTGACACCTGGCATCAGTTAGTAAGCCCACAACTTTTGGTCTTTTCTTGTCTAATAAAGTTGTTTACTTTATTCTTGGACCATTTCTTCAGTATGATGTAGCTACTTCCTTTCAAGAATGAAATGCATGCTCATATGGTATCAGAATGGCTTGAGGCTAGAGTACCGTTATTATATATGAATTTCTGACGGATATAAGTTAGTAATTTGGGGGTTTTTTTGAGCATGGTTTTTGTTTCTCTGACTTGTAGCTTGGCTATTCTTCCATCTCAGATTGCTGCTGTAGTCTCTCTATGTTTACTTCCATATATCTATGTGAAGCCTTTTTCTTCCAGTTATTGATGTTGACATGGTAATCTTAAAGTATTTCAGAGTATCCTTCTATCACTTGGTTCAGTGAGGGTCTATTTAAAAATAATGCAGATCTCATAATCTTCCTGCCTGCAGAGCCTGGGGATAAAGGAGACCTTTTCAGGAGTCCTCCCAGTATAGATGGGAGGGAAACATTGAGGTTTTTTGTAAGAGTCGTTGCTGGTTTATACCCAGACTCTAGCGTAGGCAGGGCTGACAGCATTGTCTGAGCTGTTGGGTATGCCATTTCATTCAGTCCATATAGATGAGAACTTTTGCTACACGGTTCAGGAGGACTTTGGGTGATTTGCTGTTTAGCAAGCACTGAAGAATGAACTCTGAAAACGTCAGAAGACTTTATCTGTTGATCTGAAAACGGTAGAAGAAGTTCCATCAGCCATGACTATGGGGAGGCTGCGAGGCCAGCATGGAACAGGTTGAAACAGGACCTGCATCTTGTGATTGCCGGAGAGCATCTCCAAAACCCTTAGCTGCTGTTGCAAAGTGATTATGAGTGCCTGTAGATCTCTCTGCAAAATTAAACTCTCAGGAGGATACAGGAACTCCTAGCTGATGACTTAAATGATCTTTGATTTGGATGTCAGTCTGCAGTTAGAGGCAGATTTCGGCTTTTGAGTGAGGAATATTTTTTTTTCTGTCAGTCTGAGAACTGAAAAGCTGTGTGAGGTAGGGATTATATGTCAAAATAGTGTGATTAAATCAGCTTCTGTCTCGAGTGTCTGATACTGCACTGTAGATTTTATAATGCAGATTTGGTTATGGGAAGAAATACATCTGTGATTTTTTTTTTTAAGGCAGTTGCCTGTAATGTAACTGGAAGTGAAGCAAAACATGTTCCAAAAAAGCCTCTAGCTAATACTCGTTTTGAGAAGCCTATTCGTTAAATTGTGTTCCTGTGAGCACTTGATCTGGTATTCTGATTTGCTATAGAAAGCCCAACTTCTGTTCATGCCTTGATTTTTTTAAATTCCTGTCTTTGGCCCATGTTCCATCAACTTTCTTTGTCTCTCGTGAAATATCTTGGAGTCTGATGCTGGCTGAATCCTCACTTTGAATAATGAGTTTTGTTTTCCAGTGAAAGCAGTGACAGTTATCAACCTTAAGAGCTAATTCCAAAAAACATGACCAAATCTTCCCTCAATTTGAGTGGCCGTGCCATGTTCCAGTACCCATGAGCTTAGTTGATTAAGCTAATTAAGTTAGTGTAGTGGGAAAAGAAGGAAAATAACTTGATGTTTTAAAAAGCTGGAGAGAGATAAAAGGGTAAATGGCCAGCTCAGCCAAGTTGTATTGTTTAGTTTGAGTCCCTGAAGACTTCTGCAAATTTATCCCAAGGAAAACAGATTAAAAGATGTCTAGTGAGAAGTTTGTCATCTGTCTTGTCTTCTCCAGACTCTCTCAGTAAAGTTGAGTTCCCGCAGTTGCTTGTCCAGGCAGGCCCTTAAGTGCCAAGTAAATCCTTCCTGGTTCTGCTCCACCTGATGAAGTTTGAGGTGAGGCATGACAAGACCATGCCTTCTGCTTCTGCTGGCATTGGCTTACATCCAGTGGCCTTGTTTGCTTTGGCACGACTTTCCTCCAAAGCTGCTTTAGCACTGTTGGTGTAAGCCATTTTCCATCCATCAGCTTTGTCCCCTACTCTGCTGACTTCACTGGAGGTGTCATGGGTGTCTCTGAGGACCAGCACCAAAGTGCATTGCTGCTTCTGCATTGCGGTCCCCTGGAAGGGTAAAACATAGTAGTACCATCACCCTAGCTACAAGAGGTGGGATCTCCCTTGACTGTGGTCGTGGTGCAGAAATGCACTCTCTAAACCCTTACTGGAAGGATGGCCTCTTCACCAGTGGTGAGACTGCAGGTTGGTATATCCACCTCCTTACTGAGCTCGTGTGCTGGAAACATCAGCTCAGGCTTGCCTTTTCCTGATGTTTATTGCAGATGGTACCTGGACTCCAAATCCCTCCTGTTCTGTAGCTGGAAATCTGATGCCATGGGTTGTTTCTGTTTTGACCTGAATTGGTCTTTTGGTTTGGGCAGGAGTAGCCATCTCATCTCCTTGGAGGACTATATAACTTTTGAGGGACTCGTCATCTAGGCATAGGAAGAGCCTGGACCAGGTTACCCTGAAGAAATCTTGATGTTTTTTTTGCCTGCTGCCCCTTTCTTCATGAGATATCAGCAGGCAGGCTGATGACTTGTTGGAGCATTATAGTAGAATCCACCTTCTTGCCCAGGATGTTCTTCCTCTACTTCCAGATCTTGGAGTGGGCATTTTTAAAGTTTCTGTGGTAGTGTTAGTGAGGACAAAGAGGGTTCTAACTATATGAGCACTTTGGGTCTGGCAGGAACCTAACGACTGCCACTTTACAAGCTTCTTCATAGATGTGATGGCTTGAAGGGACTTGGTGTCAGTGGCAAACATCTGTTAGTCTCCCACGACAGCTGTAATTACAGCATGTTAATTTGGTAGGTAACTTCATGGGTACCGGAGGGGCATGCGTTGAAGTGGATAACTTCTTTACTACCAGAAGTGTTTCTGACTGAATTATTTATTGTCTTTGCCATTGCATGTCCTTAGAGGTTGGAGGTCTCTTAAGTGCCTACAGAAATGCACACAAGCTGGAACTGGTTTTGTGTGCTTTACCTAAAATACTGAAAATGGTCTACTGACCTTTGGTAGAGAAGGCAGGTAGAAGCTGTTTCATCAGACGCTTCTGGATTCCCAGTATCTGTGTGCTTACATTTTTTTATTAATTTGTGAGGGAGAAGTATTTAAGTTAAGATATGGTCTAGCTCTTCCCTCCCCCTTTCTCATTGGCCAAGGAAAATGTTGTGATATTTTGTCAGTGCCGAATTGCCTTCAGCAGAGAGGCATGCTCTATGGTGCATGTTAGAACCACTTCTGTTCCCCCTCAGATTGTTCCCCGGCTTACCAGCAGAGGTGAATAGCTAGGAAGATTGAGCAGGACCTGGATTTTCCAATAAAAAATTGGAATTAGATCTCTCTGGTAAACCAAAATATGTAGATTAGCTCAGGAGGAGTCGATTTGTGTTCTGGTCCTGTATAATATCAAGGAATGTTAGATTCTGGTATGTGCTAGCTTTGTCACCCCTGCAGTTTTAACAGAGAAGCAGAGATACTACTGACTGTTGTGGGAAGACTTCACATTTTGGATCTTTTGCCTGAAAACTCAAATTGGAAGTCAGATAGGTGGTTTAATTTGTAAGGATGAAGTAAATGTAGCTCAGTGTCAGATGAAGTGCTTAATGTGCTAGTGAGGACCAATCTGCTAATGGTAGCTGATCTTGGAAACATCAACACTCAACTGACAGAAGCATGGCAAGTGATGGAGAACTAAACCAAGAGCACTCAGTGCATCCTACAGAGCTATTTAGCTGAGAACTTAAAGGTGAATTTCCTGAGTATATCATCTTCAGAGATTGTCTAGCCAAGAGCAAAGCATTGCTGCTTGTTCAGTAACACAGATGGAGATGGAAACTCACAACAACCCTGGTAGTCATGACAATAAGTATGTAACATGCTGGCCAATACTAGCTGGTTCTCCGGTGGCTTTTTAAAATCACTGATACATTTATATTTTGCCTCTTTCTGCAAGTATACCTGTTGCAGTGTTATAGTGGATAATCTAACTTACACCTTTCCAGCTGGTCATCTGTCAAGTTCTGCTGAAGTTGAATATACTTCAGCTGCCAATGCGTCATCTTCTCATTAAAAAGTTCCTGTTGAGCAGGACAGCAGATACTTTCAGAGTCTGACTTTCTCTTAATACTGGTCAGCAAACATCTCACTGGTAGAAACCATCTCTGCAAAGCAGTAATGAATCCACTATGAACAGAGTTCTGTGTTTGTAGGGTGTCTTTGCTCAATTACAGCTATTTCTGTATAAAAATAAAGTGTTCTGTTACGCAGGAAGCTGTGGGGGGAAGATGTTCTCTATTGATAAATATCAGTCTTGTAAGCTGGTTCTCACAGGTTGTCAGAGTTTGGCTCCTGCTTGGCAAGGTATGAGCAAAAAAAATCTATGACTTGTGATTACAAGCTACACACTTGTTTAATTTATTGTCATCTGCTTTTTTTTGTAGGTGTGTTTTAAAACCAACTTTGGATAAGGCAGGAGTGACTTCTGAAAGCTTAATTGATTGAAATTGAGTTTGCTTAATGCAGAGTTTTGCGTATTGTGCAGGAGAATTGGTGAAAGTGTCTTTGCAAGCAATGTAACCAATGACGTACTGCTGTCCAAACATGTTTTGTCTGATATTACAAATTTCGTTTTGACCAGATGATGATATTGGTCTTAATTCATGTGCCACTAGTGAATGCTAAAGCAAGCTTGTTCTTTGTGTTCTTCCTTCCCCAGGACAAAATGTTTCACTTTTGGGTAAATACATTCTTCATAGGACTGGATGAAAATTCAGACAAAGTAGAAAATGGAAGTCTAGTTGCAGATCAGGAACTTGATGGTATTTTCAGTACAGAGCGCTCAGATAATGATAAGGAATATTTAATCCTTACATTAACAAAAAATGATCTAGACAAAGCAAATAAAGACAAAGCCAACAGATATTTCTCTCCAAACTTCAAGGTCAGTATATATTATGTGTAAACAAAGCTGAAAAGCTGCATGACGTTATCTGATTTGTCTGTCTTGCTTTATGGAGGAGCCATTTGAAACTGCTGTCTATGTAGAAATTGAATTCCTGTATTAGTATTGCCACCACTTAGCAAAGCTTCTACCTTTGTAAGTTTATCTGCTTTTGGAGAAGTCAGTAGATGTTGAGAGACTGGGAGTAAAGGCTTTGGGTTGTTTCAGATATTTAGCAAAGCCATTAGAGACGAGTAGGAGGAGACCCAGAGACCCAGGTGCCAACTTTCCTGTACCAGCTGCATTGCCATGAGCTCTAAGCTTTACATAGTAATTCCTGACTTGATTTGCAGAGGTGCCTGCTTCATGGGAATGCCTTAACCTGTGAGGTTAGCCTGGAGGAGTATGAGCCATTGCCAGTGCTGTTTTTAAAAATGAAAAAGGCATTTTTAAGAATTTCAGCTTTTTCTGACTTGCTCATAAAATATCAGACCCCAGCAGTGCTCGTTTGAGGGTAATGGTCAGAGTTGCTTTCTGGAATGTTGCTTGGATCAAACTTTTAATACACACACACACACAAGTCACCAGCCACAGTGTTTTGTTCATCCCTGCGTGCTCTTATTACCACCTTTTATTGTACTTGCGGAGGTCTAGAAGGTAGGACAGTCACAAAGCTTTACTGTGGCATGGCCGGCCGCAGTGGTATGTCCTGCTGCTGGAACTGAAGAGTACCAGTGGTTGGTGCAGATATGCAGAACTCCTTCAGCTGGGCTTGAAAAACCTGCTGCTTTGCCAGTTCTTTATTTTGTCAGGGGTGGTGGTGAGAGGCTGGCTAACCTCAGAAGAACTCTTTCTTTGTTTCCTTCATTCTGGGGTAGAGAGACGAGCACTTGTGTGATTCAGTGTAGCAAAAGGAGCCATGCTGTTAAAAATTGCATTGTTACCTGTGGTCGGTTAAAGTCCAAGTTCCCTTTTTAAATGTTGTTTTTTTTTTCTTTCCCAGGTGAAGCTATTTTTCACAAAAACAGTAGAAGAGCCATCAAATCCAGAGGCTAGCAGTTCAACTTCTGTAACACCAGATGTTAGTGACAATGAACCTGATCATTATAGATACTCTGACACCACTGACTCTGATCCAGAGAATGAACCTTTTGATGAAGATCAGCATACGCAGATTACAAAAGTCTGAATATTTTTTTTATCGGAGAGAAAAAAAAAAAACCAACCACGAAGAGTGGCAAACTTGAATAAACTGAAAAAAAAAAAGGACCTTTTTAAATGGCAGAAGGACATAGTGTCAGATTACCAATTATAGGAATAATTCTTTCCTGACCAATCTTGTTTTGCCCTATAAATCTACAGGGTTTGACACTTGTCCAGTTGGGAAAAAGAAAAAAGGTTACGTAGGTCTGATATGTATATACCTTTTTGTGTCAAAAGGACATTAAAACTTCAATTAGGAACTATAAACATGGCACTTTCCCATTTTATTCCAGTTTTATAAAAGTGGAGACAGACCTAATGTGTATGCGTAGGAATTTTTCCTTTTGTGTTCTGTCACCAAACGAAGTTCCGAAAATATACAGGTTCACATCCTGCCCCTTTTTTGCACTTGTGTGGCAACAGAAAAGTCTGCAGTTGGCTAAGAGATGTTTCTAGAAGGTTTTACTACATTCTAATGCATGTATTTTGGATGGGGGATGGAAAGTAATGCTCAGAAAGGAATATAGTCTGCTGGAGCTTGGCCTGTGTACCATATCCAGCTACTTACATGCACCTTTCTTTAGCATGCTACCGTAATTCATCCTGGACAATTGAAGAGTCGCCGCTGTCACTGCTCGTTGTTTGTGCATTTTATTTTTTTAAGTGTAATGGTGCTAGAAAAGGCAGCTAGAGGGAGTGATTCTGTATAGGGGTACAGGAATGAACCTTCACAACATCCTAAAGACCCACAAATGAAGGGAGAAAAAATATTGGGGTCACAGAAAGGAAACACAGCAACAATGACTTAACCATACAAATGTGGAGGCTATCAACTAAACTATGGGCTTGAAACAAATTGTTAAAAAATTTGACAATGATTTATTGTTTTTTTCCTGAATTGTAATGGCTGCTCCATCTCCTGTGTAATCAAGGCCAGTGCTAAAAGTCAGATGCTATTAGTGCATACAT